GTCCATGTCAACTCCAGTGAGTATTCCAAGCCACCACTACTACAGCCGCCATGATACATGTCCATTATTCCTGTTCCCGACATATCATCATTTCTATAGTTTACAGAGCCTATAAAATGCCCAAGCACTCTCAAACTTGATGGGAAAAGGTCGATGATATCTATCACTTTCACAATTCTACCGTTGGCCCGTACTTTATGCCTGAAATCTGTTGCTCATGTGAATTCTTATATTGTTCGAAGGGGGCAGTCTTTTGATTTAATTGCATAAATTTATCATACGGATGCATGAGGTCCTGTATGCGCGTCGCATGTTGGAGTTGCCGAGTCCGCGGACGTCGTCTCCAGGAGGCCGTTCGAAGCATGCTTCTATGCATTCAAGATGAGGATGCTCGTCTGATGTTCCGATATAGCCATGACATTGCCAGTTTGATAGCAACCTCGGACAGCACCGCCATACTGGCGACTTGATAGCATTACCAGACCCACATGCATATGGCATTTCCATTCCAGTTTGAAATGAAGCAAAAAATAGCACATCGAAAAATACCCTCGATAGACTTGGTGACGTGATGGCGAATTTCGATTCGGGACGGCGAGATACTTTGGAAAATATGTTTGATTTTAGAGGCATTTGGAGTGTGATCTATGGCTATATTGACACATAAGAATGAAATTTGTGGATATTTACAGACATGGGAAGAAATCGAACTTTTCTTATGACACTGTCGCACCAAGTGATATTGAAACTCGGGAACAGCTCTGTGGATCCTAGCGGGATTTCGACAGCTTATTCAGTTTATTGCGTCCTTCCTTTAGAGGTGCTGTTCTTCATGGTGCTGCTTGAATTGACTGAACAAGTTTTTTCAAACATAATTTTGAAAGTGGTAGGAAAACTGAAATGGTATTGTTTGAAATAGATTTATGAGTTTTCGACACCAAAATGGACGTGATGGCGTCACGCCACCCAGTTCTTCTAGCTCAGGGCGCCGTTCCACAAAACGATCTTAGCGCTAAGACAATGGTACTCGCCATATAGTTTATCATTGACGTACGACAGTAGCCTTAAGATCGCCTTGTGGAACGGTTGCGCCATAATGTGCTGTGAAGCTCCGCACCACCACCTGTGGTTCGAATGACTTTTTGTGGTTGTTGTTTAATGCTGCATTGAGCGATATTTCAGCTATGTGGCAGCGGTCTGTAAATAATCGAGTTTGAACCAGACAATCTCGTGATCAACAGCATGAGCATCGATATACACAATTGGGATACGATGACATGTGTCAACCAAGTCTGACCTACCGATCCCGTTAGTCTTACGACAAGGCTGGGTTGCTGAAGACCAATTCTACCCCGGCTATTCACGGGTGGAATGTTAAACTGGCCACCCTGTTAATGTATGGTTTGTCTCCATATACTACAACCAGTGGCCTCACACCAGGAGTCATGTCGACACCAACATGTCATTAAGTGAGAGGGTTTGGCTCAACGCCACTTCAATCAGTCCGTAAGTGCTATCAAACTATCCAACTTGCTTGGTGTGGGGGGAATGTCCCAAGTGATTGAAGTCTAAAGTCCGTTCATCACTCAAGCAGCGCAGCACAACTACACACAAAATCAATACAATAAACAATATACCCCCAAAACAAAAAAACAACCAAAAAATAAACCAAAAATATAAATCAAACAAACAAAAGGAAAACACACATACAAAAGAAAACGTGTTTTTTTCAAATACCAAACAGATCAACACAACACGTTGGCGGTGAAAGTTTTTGGTTTCCCGATAAATATTCACATGAGTTTAGTTTTACGCCGCTTTTAGCAATATGCCAGCAATATCACGGCGGGGGACACCAGAAATGGGCTTCACACACTGTACCCATGTGGAAATTCGAACCCGGGTCTTCGGCGTGACGAGCGAACGCTTTCACCACTAGGCTACCCCACTGCCCCTGATAAATATAAACAAAACAGGATCCTAATATCCTACTATTGATATATTATTCACTCCCTTTATGTGCAACTGTATACTTGAGAGTTTCCCCCCTCCACACACACTAACACCATCACCATTAAGAAGTATCCCTGAGCTGTGTGTCCATCATAAAGTACACTGAAGTACAAAAGAAAGTACACACGTTGCGCTTTGAAACATATTTGGAACAGTGATTTGATTGTGACTAACGCAAACATTGTGTACGTGTTACCATGACAACTCAGATAACGTACCAAAATGCGACGTTGCTAACGCCTCACGCACCTCACCTAAAGTAGGCGATTCAGTTGATGTAGACGGATTAATGACATGCCCCGAAATGACCAATAGACCCGGATGCTGACAGCACACAGACGTCTCATCACTGTGTTCTTGTCAAATGACGTCACTGTGAGCATCCGGTTGTGCAGATGGAAATGCGCATGCGATGGTCACTCTCGATCATCAAGTTTGTGGACTCTTAAGATGTCTGACCAGTCTGGTTGACACGTATAATTAGTCTGACGAAGGTCTGCCTGATAATACGGTCTGATAATATGGCTGTTTGAAGCCCCCATCTGCGACGTAATAGCTGCAATAGCTCGTGGGGCGGTGGGGTAACCTAGTGGTTAGCGCGTTCGCTCGTCATGCCGAAAACCCGGGTTCGATCCCCACATGAGCAAAACTAAACTTACTTGCTCACTCCAATGGCACGTTATTGCTCCAAGGCTGACAATCTTGGTAGTTTGGTGTGTGCCTTTAGCTAAACCACTACAAACAGTCTGTAACAATCTCAATCGCTGTTTTATACTGATGACGCATAACATGCACGTGCGATTCAACAAAATCATGATTCTCATGAGGCCCCAACAATAACCCCACTTAGTCTGTAAAGGATTTTTGTGAGGCTTTGGCAACACGAAAATCACAATCAAAACACTTTTCAAAATATATTCTTTGTTTTTCGCAAAGAAATACCAAAACCATGGGCGGATCAAGGAATTTTGAAAGTGGGGGTGGGGGTCAGAGGGTTCGAACCCCCTGATCCCCCCATTTGCTCCGCCAACGCAAATCTTCAATGTGGTCTTAAGTCATTTTCAAAAGAGGGGGTTCGAACCCCCTGAACCCCCTCTCTGGATCCGCCAATGAAAACACCAACTATATGTTTGTACTTGCTTTTGTGCGTCAGTTTTTCTGAATATAGCTGTTTGTTCTTTTTTCTAAATTCTTTTTATTGTTGATAAAAAAGCTTTTTGTTCTTTAACGCCAGATTCAACAATATATACAGTATATATAAACAGTATTACCGTTATTTAATGTCGTATTGTCAATGCCCACTGGGGTTCGAATAAACGCCGGGGTACAGGGTATCTCGTTCAAATGGTAGAGAATGGGATGAGTGCGTGAGTGAGTGAGTTTTAGTTTTACGCTGCTTTTAGCAATATTCTAGCAATACCACGAGGGAACACCAGAAATGGCCTTCACACATTGTACCCATGTGGGGAATCGAACCCGGGTCTTTGGCGTAACGAGCGAACGCTTTAACCACTAGGCTACCCCCATCCGGTAGAGAATGGAATTACACCCAATATTATCCCCGAAGAGATCGATCTCTAAACAGAACCTCGATAAAACCATGTTGATGTTCATTGTCTCAAGTTGATGGATTTGTCGTCTCGATATTGTAAAAATAACCAGTTGTGCCTGTTATACATAAGCGTTTTAGCGAGCCCTTAAACTACCTTCATTCGTCGGAAACTGAAATTATAAACGTGGGGCTAACATACGCCGGTACGTAAGTCCACAAACATTCAAAGTAAATTGAAACTCTCCGCTATTTTTAATCGTAGAATATGTGTTTTTAAATGTATGGCTAGATTTGTCTACGTTGCTAACGGCTGAGGGGATGGTGTAAATCCAGCTAGGGTCCATGCAGGAAGCAAAAGCACTGTCAGTCCCCATGGTCCCTAGTATGGTGATCTACCTTCAGTTGTTGGCAATCTATTGCCTGTTTTTATAGTGTATTGTCATTTATAGTTCCAATATTTTAGATTTAATTGCTAGTTTTAAATGGATATCTGTGATACACTAGTAGTTTTACTGTTCTTCGTCAACAGTTTTTTTTAATTTCTAACTTTATTGATCTTTAATATAATTATTAACTGTTCTCGTCACGATATGGTTGAAATATTGCCGATGTGACGATAAATATTTACTCACTCACTCACTCACATACGCCAGTGCGTTTGATAGAGGAAATACGGTAAATGTGTCTTCATATCAGAAAAAGTCTTTTTCTACCGCTTTGTGGGGTGTATGATCTTGTAAAAAATATTCTAAATAAAGTGTTCCCATTGTGTCAAATGAAATATTTTAAAAGTTTTTTCATAGCATATAGGTAGAATACATTGTTCTATGTATAGTAAAACAATATTTAAAAGGTAGCAGAATTTCTGCAATGTCTTTTTAAGCATATGTCACACAAGACAATACTGATGTATGTATCCTTTCTGTGGAAACTTTGCTAACTAATAATTCCTGTTTAATTACGACCAAACTCCACATGCACAACTCACTTTCAAATAGTTTGTGTAATCAAATTTTCAGTATTCAGTTTCAGAAAATAGTTCATGTATAGGCACCGCGAGGTGACTGTTAGCAATCGATTTTTTCACGATTGTCTTCTTGCTCGTCCAAGCGGCTTTGTGCTTTGATGTATGGGAATGAACCTGTTAGAACCACCTGTACGGCGTAGTTGTCTCCCTTTAACACTGCCTCCTCAACCCGTTATTTTCCATAGGGGGTCATCGTAGGCGCCCTCTGAATTTCCCACCAAAACAACACTTTTATTCCTTCAAGTAATGACCATTTGGGATATATGTTACACATTTTAAACGCCTTTAATAAAAACTAATAATATATGTGGTTTCAGAGCAGTAAATTCTCACAATAGATTTATCGACCCGCAACCTTACTCCCCTCCAAAACAAAATAGAATCGCCCTCCGTTAAGGTTAGCAGAGAGTTGATTATCCGTGACCAAAACCTCGTTTGTGAAACTGTCAAAACACGAGAGATGAGGAAACGCGTATCGGTGTTGGAGTTACGTGGCTCGCGACAGTAGCATATACATGCGATCTTGTCTGGATAATTTTAGGATGGACGTATAGCTTGTGATACACTTTACAGTCCCGTTACTTCGTCTGATAGGAACGACCCACGAGAAAATGGCGACTCAATCTCACCAGTATTACGAACGTTTATCATCCTTACCATGGATCTGCATTGTTACATTGCTGTGCTCTGTGGCGTTATCCGAGGCTAGACATTCAGAGAAGATTGTAGCCTTCTTCCAAGGTAAGAACAGCATTGCAGTTGATGGCGTTATGATATATGGCGCAATCATTACCCGTTTGAAACAGCTCCTGTAGCGTGAATCAACAGCCCGAAGGAACAAGCGCATCGTGTGTGTATTGCAATGCATTAGTTTGCAACGTGCATTTACAGGTGTAAATGAATGTGTATTGTTTGCTCGAATGATTATAACACGAAGTATGACGTTCGCTCGTCAGATCCAGGAACTGCTTTTGAGAAATACCGTGTTGTGTACTGCAGGATTGCTTGGGATGGTACATTTGCCAGGCCCTTTAGTATACATGCCGGTTCATGAATGATATATAGCTATATTTATCGCTTTGTTTTTACACCACTTACAATAGCGATAATGAAGCAAATCGAGAGCTGTTGAATGAACAACTGTACTCCTTTATATGTTACATGTTTGTTGGTTGTTGTGTTGAATGTTAAGAATACAAGATACACATTTTTAAGAGGGTAGCTCAATTACATTATCTGATCCTACTACATTGTCCTATAAAGTTTTCCATCAGAATGTATATAACACATCCATATTTTTCTTTTAATGATGGAGTAATACATTCAATCATATACCCTTTAGTTAAATTTAGGTAGATGCAAACATTATCCATTGAGTTTCTTTTATGCTTAAGTGTGAAACATGTATTCTGTATCAGGTTTATTTAGCTTGTATTTGCTATTTCATATAATTGGGTTACACTATGTGTAAACTGTTTTCACAACAATGTTTAAAATAGAAACACAATTGGCTTAACCAGCTGAACAATGTTATTCAACATTATTATAGCATCCTTGTGTTTAAGTGGTTACTTAACTAAGTTGCATCAATTTGCAACAAGATGAGATATATGTGTACAGCTTGTTCAAAGCCATACACCCATTTTGCACAGGCATGGCTATTCTATCACCAGGCTTGTTAAGTATGTGAATAGTATAGTCATTTCAGTTTTCAATTCACTACCTTTCATCTTTAAGGAGGATAAACTTTAGCTTTGAAAATCATGAAAACAATTTCTTTTGCAATCTCCGTTGCTTGAACATCTCTTTTAAGTGTGTACAATTTAGTGTACTAGATTCGTTCACAGTGGCTAATGTAGTCATGAAGTTGTAATTTTTAAAGGAATAAATGTACTTATAGGAAATTGTAGGTCAGAAGGATCATATCAATAGGAAGTGTAAATTTTAATATTTGTGTAAATGTATACATTTTACAAATTCCACAGAAAAATGTAGACTTCTGGAATGGAACTTGAATCAATTTTCTTAGAATAGCTCACACATTTCAGTGAACGAAACAGCCAACCATTCAATACATGGTTGTGATATATTATTTCATGTAATCCTTCAGTGCTTTTATCTAATACATTTCTGAATGATATTAGTTATCTTTCAAATTGTTTTTCTGAAAGAGAAGGGAAGCATACAATAACATGAAACAAGTTTAATCAAAAATTGCCGAGAAAGAAAACATATTTGCTTTAAGGCTTTATCTGGTGAATGCATGCACTTCTTGTTAAAAGGGAAAAAACCTGACGAATAAATATCAAATTTTCATCATTCATGTTGCATTGTGAAATTCTAGAAGCTGATTCACTATTAAATTCTGGAGTGAAATAACTTCCAGAGATCAGGTTCACAGAATCCTAAAATCAATAATTATGCATTGAGTTTCATATTGGATTGAATAATTAAGGAATCGGCTACACATGAAGAGGACTACGAAAACAGTAGCACCTGAATGAGTTGGAGGCACAGTCTGAAGCCATCAATGCATTGAACATAAAATATTGGGAAGGTTTAAACAGTTGAATGAATGTGAGGAAATGATTTTTGCAAGAATATTGTGATTTCGTTTCTAAGGTGAGCAGTGGGTGGGTGGTGTTTGAAAACTAAACATTTGGTTGATTACATGCATGTTCAGTGATGAGCGATCTTCAGATTGATCTGAAATACTATATTGACCTCTGTCAACAAGGAGCAGGCAGTAGCGGCTGACATGTTGTGTTTACCTGTGTTGTAAGAAATACTGGAGAAAATAACGTTTTATTGACTATCTGCATCTCTATATTTCCCAGTTTCTTAGTTACACGACACTATATTAAAAGAATATTTGTGAATAAGTGCTGTGGAATATATTTATGCAAATTCTAGACTGATGAAACTAGTGTTAACTTTGAACCATTTTCTAACCAGGACAAATAATCTGTTTACAAATGTATTGTTCTTAAAGTAACAATATAAATAATTGATTTAGAAACTGTTAATTTCAGAGAAACATCACCAGTAAACTGGGTTAACTTTGTCAGCTTTCTTTAAGTTGGTTCTAGCAACAAAATTGTAGTTGGTGTAATCAATGTTTGCTTTCACATTGTCCTGCAAATTACATGCCTTTGTACGAGCTGTATCCTGATGCAGGGATTATCCATACCAGCGCAGAGGCTGATATTCTGAAGCAAGTGTCAGTAGAAATTGAATTTAAAATTTGATGAGTCATGTTGTTATAGTAATAACTAACATCATTGCTTTCAGAGGTGACAAGCATTCACTGATAACAGAATCAATCAGAATGAAGAGGCTTTCATGTTGCTTTCACTTTTTGTGGATTGAATAAAATACAAAAATACACCTGAATTTAGGAAAATGAAAATTTTAAAGAAAAAATAATTTAAAAACATTTCTGAGTTTCTCTGCCAAGGGCCTCAGTTTGTAATCCCAGATAAATCTTCTTGATAAATCCTTCTTATGTCAGATTAAAAAATGTGTTTGTAAAGACAAACATACAGCTAAGAACTTATTTAGACTACTTAAAAATTCAAGGAAGCAGTAAAATAAATGTTGACCTGAAATATTTATTAAGACATCTATTATCTGAATTGGCTTAATTCAGAAAATTCTGAGTAACAGAATCCAAAGCCGAACACCTTGACCAGTCATAAATAATTCCAATATCACGATTAGATGTAACCAGAATGAAGCAAGATAATGAGATATAACTTCAATTAGTAGCCACTGTAGTGTGTCCCATTGTGATGTACAACTACTGCTGTTTGTTGCCATCTGTTAGTGCCTGGTGACTGTACTGTCATTGCTGGGAGAGCTCCAAGCACCTGTCGACAACCTCATCACTACTGCATGGGAGATCACGCTTCCACTGGTATAGTGGGAATAATCATAGGAACTCTGTCTGTGAAACAGCCGACCAGGGTAGCTGCTTGTCTTATTGAGAGAACGATAGTGAAGGTGTTTGGATACGAGCCAGCTGGAGGGATTGGCTGTTATCAATTTTGTATAAGACTTTTTTTAAAGAGAAGTCCATGTTTTGTGTTTAGTCAGTGTTAGTCGATGAAGTGGCGATTTTGTAGTGTGGATGCTTTCCGAATCTCACTCCAAATGGTCATTGTCTATGAACTACATCACTTCAGATTTACCTCTCAGATCAGATGGGGCGGTTGGGTAGCCTAGTGGTTGAAGCGTTTGCTCGTCGCGCCGAAGACCCGGGTTTGATTCCTCACAGCAGTACAATGTGTGAAGCTTATTTCTGGCGTTTCCCGATGTAATATTGCTGGAATATTGCTAAAAGTGGCGTAAAACACACTCACTCACTCACATCACACACACCATTAGGTAACTGTGACACTGTTCTAGTCCACTTTAAATCCAACTCACTCACTGACAATTCACTACTAGTGTGTTTTAATCAATTCAGAATACTTCAAATCATAGTAAAGCAGTTGGAACAGTGAGAATGTGTTAACATCAGAGATTAAATTATGAGAGCTGCAAACTTGTATCTGTATATATATATGCTGTTCAACTTTTATGAACACAAGGGTTTATCGAATTTCCAGGAAGCAGTTTTGCTCTGAAAAGATTGTGAATGCAGGTGCAAATTGAGTATCAGACTTTGGTAGAATGGGATGTTGGTGTGAAGAAAGCTGGGTATGAGTGACAAGTGGATGTCGTTTTGTTAATATGGAGTGACATAAACACAGTAAACTACGTTTATAATGCACACGCTTATAGTGAAATGACAGATGTTATGAACTGTCTTCTTGTCCCTTGCACTTGCTGGATATGTTGGTTGAAATGTGTAGGGGCGGTGGGGTAGCCCAGTGTTTAAAACTCCCAAATTTCCAAGCTAGACAGCCGGACTGGTAACTTAAAAAAATTACCAGTCCAGTCCGGATACAAACTTGCCTGTCCAGTTTTCAACAATAAAAACCCAAACAAAATCAGGTTAGTCAGGTTACTGTTTGTAGGCATCGCAATGAACTACATAGCACTAACAGGCAATGCACCCAGTTTAGGTAAACTGAAAGTACACGTGTTGTGATTGATCGTAACATGAACTGTACAGTCGTATGTAGTTTAACATAATGATCATAATACCGTAAACACCTCAAACTGACGACAAGAAAACCGGTCCGATGTTATGAAATATTTACTATTAGGGGTAAAAATATCTACCAGACCACCGGACAGGCTACATTTGAAATTTGACCGTCCGAGATGAAAATAGACAGTTCCGGACGGTCGGACAGGCGGGAATTTTAAACGCTAGGTAGCCTAGTGGTTAAAGCATTCGCTTGTCATGCCGAAGACCAAGGTTTGATTCCCCATGTGGGTAGAATATGCGAAGCCCATTTCTGGTGTCCCCCGCCGTGATATTGCTGAAATATTTCCAAAAGCAGTGTAAAACCTTACTTACTGAAATGTTTAAAACGAACTATGGTTGGTGGACCCTTTGAGTTTTGTTATTTTCTACTATAGGTTAATTTTTTGTAGCTAAACCTATGATAAGGAAAGGAGGATAGAAAGGGGTATAATACAGCTTAAGCATGTCACAGACACAGACTGATAAATGGGCTTCCGAAATTGTTCACCCATGAAGATTAGAATTTGAAGGTTAGAATTGTTCTTCAGTAACCCATGCTTGTCATAAGAGGTGACCTATTGGATCGGGTGTTCAGGCTTGCTGA